AAGACATGAAAAGGTTGACTGCTTTCGATCATAGATGTCTGCGATCTCTGTCTCACGTTAGGTGGTTTAATAAGGTAAGTAATGTTGACGTTAGGCGTAGAGTGTTGGGCAAAGAGGGAAAATCAATCGACGAGGCTATAAAGTTACATAGACTGAGATGGCTAGGTCACGTGGTGCGCATGCCTAACCACCGCCTCCCCCTACAGGCATTGCTAGCTGATATAGGTGAAGGTTGGAAAAGAGCCAGTGGTGGCCAAACAAAAACATGGCCTCATCAATCCATGAAATCCTTGACAGTTAAACTGAGTCAGTCAGGTAGGGAGATGCAGACTCCCGGGTTGGGGGCCTCGGGACTCTAGGAATCAATGGCTGGAGACAATAGGTGACATGGCTCAAAATCGTTGTCAATGGCCAGCGCAGATGTATTCAGTCTCTGTAATCTTTCATATTCATTTCTACCATTACTCATTCTGTTTCACTCTTATACTTGTCGAACTCTATTGATTCTCTTCACTCATCTTCTTGTCTACCTCTGTGTGCTATTTGGAAGGTGGCAACTCGAACTGCTGCACTTCGGTGCCGATTTGCAGGTTGAATCCAGACAGACACCTTGTTCTATTTAGTATTTAGTACTGTCTTCTTCATATGGGTTCATGATTGCCCATGATCTCTCATGCCCTCCTCCTCCAACTCACACGATCTCCTCCGTGTCACCTTTGAAGTGACCTCCAACCCCGTGGCTTTTCTTTGGGATTCCGCACAAACAATCTCCTGCCTTGTGCTTGATGTCATTCAACAACGGCCTCCTTCCTCAACGGAAGCGCGATCAATCCATCTCCATTTCCTTCTACATATCTGTTGAACAATCGGCTCTCTACTGTTGGTTTGTTCCCAACCAGGATTTCTTGTTGCTTATTCTTTCTGGCCGGTTGGCCGGGCAACTGGCCATAGTATGTATCTTCAATATATGTAGCCAGCGAAGTGGGCAGGCAGCTGTTGATGAAAGTCTGAACTAGCCTGTTGAAAATGCTTTTCGTAACACATGTGTAGTACGAGTGTCTGACCAGTATTAAAAGGACTAACTTGACATTGGTGTTCAACAGAATCCCAATCTTGTTCTTTATGTTGAGTGCAGAATATTTCCAAACTGGCTTCAGGTTGATGAAGGTGTATCTTGCTTTTTCGATTGTGGTTAGCTGGCTGACTGGCTTCGACATCTTCATTCGTGCTGTCCTCCTGCCTGTGGTTGAAACGATTCTGGCTGTCTAGATAAGTGATGTAAGGAGGTTGATATGTATCCACATATATATATACATATGTATGTGTGTGTATAGTGATCTCTCTTTCTGTTTGCTCGCTTAGTCTGTGACCATTTCACTTTGATGAACCTGTCTCCTTTAACAATGTATATTATTCCCCTTATATTATATATAATATGAGTGTTTGTTGACAGTCCGTTGCTTGGTGACATATATCCATATATGGTGGTTGTTGACATGTCTGTTATATTTTGCTATGTATACATGGATCGATACTCCATTATAATTAGCCATTCATGTTAAGACTGTCTATTGATTTGTTCACACAGTTGTCTGGACATTCATATATATTTCGCTCACACAATATTGTGTGACACTTTGGTGTGATACCACTTATTGCTTCTCCTTGTGTTTGGAAAATAGAAGTATCATCGCAAACCTAGTGGTCTTCTGATTTCCGCCTTCTTGCGTCAGGACTATTAAATTCTCGACCAGTACATAATAATAATTTGGCGACGGGGAAAACTACTATTAACCACTCAGCAGCAGCAGCAACATAACAGAGGTAACCTCTGTCAAATCTCTTCCGTTTTAATGGTGGTTGGTACTGGTTGTTGAAACCATATTTCTCCCTATAAATCGCATCTACACTTACCTATGATGAACAAAAGTAAAGTTCCTTATTTGGCTGATAGGAATTAATAACGTATGTGTGTGTGTGTGTGTGGGTGGGTGGGTGTATTCGTGTTTATTATTTGATAATAATCATATATTTGTTGCTTTTCTAACATTCCAAGTGGTATTATCTAAACTTTCTTTTTCAACTTTTATCAATCCTTAATAGGAATGTACTCTACTCTACCAAATTTCAATAAATTCTTATTGATCAAATACTTTTAAGAGTAGTCATCAAACTTAATCACAAATCGATCAATATTCCTGTGCATTATATTTCAGGCTATTTATTGATCAGTTGGTATTTTCTTCAAAAATAAATTAATGTAGAATCAGTTTATTCAATGTATCCGATTTGAAAGGGTATTTTACAACTATAGGACAGAATAAATAATGAATGATGCACTTTATTATTGACAACTGTCTCGGAAAAAAGGCATTCTTCAATCTTGTCTGTTGTATCATGAATATTCATCATTGACAGATACTTTCAAATTATTCAGAATAGATATTTCGTATAACAAGGAAGGCATATCCTACAACAATTGATCAATTATTACTGTTATTATTTCCTTTAATGCCTAGAGGAACATAGGGCTTCAGCCACTCACGTCTCCATTGCGTTCGGTTCTCTGCTAGAGTTTTCACTTGGCTACAAGTCTGCCCACATGCTTTCATCTCCTCTTTACATGACCTCCTTCAAATTACCCTTGCACTGACGACCATCTCACCGCTTCCCTTTCGGATTCCATTCGAACAGTGGCTTGTCTAATGATGTCACTTGATGGTTTGTTTTCTCAGATTATGGTCAATTCATCTCCATTTCTTCCTGCTTCTTTGTTTCACAATCTGTTCCTGCTGAGTTCGTTCGCACCAAGAGATCCCTCCCTGTTGCTGATCTTTTCTGGACATCTGATCTGAGCGAAAACAGCTGTTGATGAAGGTCTGTAGTTTGTTTGAGGTGCTCTTTATGACGCGCCAAGTCTCTGATCCGTATAGTAGCACTGACTGACTTCACATTGTAGCTGAAAATCCGGATCTTATTTTTGATGCTGAGTGCTGTTGACCTCCACACAGACTTGAGAGTAATGAAAGCTTGTCTTGCTTTCCCGCCTGTAGTTGAAACCATGCTTCCCATGTAGGTAGGTAGAAAGGTTGGTGAAGGAGGTTGTTTCTTTCAGGTTCCTCCCATTTATGCCGGTTGTTGTCTGTTGTTGTTGGCTAGGAACCTTCATCACCTCTGTTTTCTCTATGTTTACCTGAAGTCCTATCATACTGGCAATTTATTCAGTCAGACTGTAGTGGATGTATCTGAGTAAATTAGGAGCTGTAGGTTAGTTAAGTCACTGAACCATATTTTCATTCTCTGATACAGACTAAATAACATGACGGCGAACATTCTATCTGCATACATTTTAAAGAAGCGGAGTAGACATCCAGTATACTTAAAAAGGCATTTCATATTCTAACCTATAGAAGAAACTACATTTTCTAACAGTGGGGGGGGGCGGGGGGTGCAGTGGAATATTTGTAGCTAAAGTGAATTTTTTCTCTTTTTTGGCATTGTTGTGTTCTCCGACCTGGATAGTTTAACTGGACTGGACTACATTGGCACCTAGCTTTCAGATAGGGAGTGAAATGATTAGTGAAGCTTGTTGACCACTTCATTTATTTGAGGAGTTGCATCAGCCCCAATGGCAGTGGGTTGATCTGATCACTGACGAAATGTCAGCATGGATACAGAAGGCTCGTTTCGCATATGCCAACTTACTTACGTGATATCCGGCTAGCTATCAATCAAAGGGCGTGTGTAATGCTCAGCAGTTCCCTCTGTCCTCCTTTACGGCTGTGAACAAGACATGGCCTTTAAAAGTGGAAAGACATAAAAAGGTTGGTTAGCTGTCTTTAAGGGACATGAGTTCCTCCTTTCAATGTTGCAGATACGCCACCCTGCTGAATACTGGTCGGTGCTAACTAGCAGGAAACCCACGTCTCAGCAAGGCTTCCTGTGGCCGATTGCCTCCAACCATCTAATATATCATCAAATCAATATGCACCTTGATAGCAAGCTACCTAATGGCATGAAGCACACATTGTAAACCTGACTGATAGAATTTAGTCTTCACCAAACAAAGGACTAGCGAGACACATCACACTAGTTACTTGTGTCCAATCAAAGTATATGTTTGTATTAATTTATTGATTGGTTACAGGATTTGCTCATGATCTGACATTGGTTAGAGAACCATTGGAAAACCTGCAGGGAGCACTGGATAGCCATATGTTTCGTCAGCAGCCTTGTTTGGGACTGGCTCTCCAACAGTACGCACCCTTACTGTGGGGTTCGAATCTAGCGACTGGCCCTATTCAGGTAGGTAGTTACCTGGGTTCTAGTGAGAAATCATGACCATTAGGATGCAGCAGGTCTGGTATGAGAAAAAATACTTGCCAAAGACATTGACATTGATCGGATCCCAATGGTTGATAAATGGTCTACAAGCTCACTCGCCTTGTAACCAGAAGGTTGTGGGTGCGTACTGCTGAAGAGTCATTCCTAAGCAAGGCTGACGAAACAGATGTCTGTCCAGTACTCCCTGTGGTTAGTTTTCCAATGCTTCTCTCTAACCGATGTCAGCTCATTATGAAATCCTGTAACCAATCATTTTAAGTTCTTTTTTTCCTTCACGTTCCCAGTGGAACATAGGGCTCCAAGCTAGAGTTTCTGTAGCAATGTTTATTTTACATGATGGGGTCGCTAGTCTCATGCCCAACGTTTCCTCTTTACCAGCATTATTTCTGGCTTAGCAAGGTAAAGGAGTGCGTCTGTGGCCGGGGATCATCGAACTCTGGATCATGTGCGCGCATGGCCGGCGAGCGTCCTAACCGCTATGCCACCGACTCATAATCATTGTAAGTTAGTTAGTTTTATTCAACCTCTTAGTTTCGCCTTCACGTTTATTTTTTTTTCTAAATTTCATAACAGTGATATTCATCTATAGTTTTTTTTTATTTTTTTATCTTTCTCTTTTTTCCTTTCACTTTTTGAAAAATAAACAAAAACAAAAGGGAGCATTCATTGGCCTAATGTATGGTTTATTGATTGGTATAATACGCCTGATATTAACAATTATCTATCATGAACCAATCTGTGGTGAATTGGATACACGACCATGGATAATAAAAAATGTTCATTATATGTATTTTGCATTATTTTCATTTTTCACCTGTGGTCTAATTGTCTGTCTAGTATCATTAACAGAGAAATCATCAACAAATGAACAATTATATCGTTTAACTTATTGGACAGCATGGGATAATCGAAATAACAATAATAGTAATAACAATGATATTGATGATAATAACTTATATAATTCAAAGATACAAAATGGTATACATTCAAATGAGATTATAATTATGATTAAAACAGATCATTCTGATGGACAAGAAGTGGACTACAAGGACGACGACGAGGACGAGGCGGAGAAAGAACACAACGATGATGTGCAGGAGAAGAAGGGAAAGAAGAAGAGGAAGCACAAGAAGAAAAAGCAGAAAAAGGAGACTTCTAGTGGTGACAGCGATGTCAATAATCATAACAATAAAAAGGGGTACAAACATCCACAACAAGAACAACAACAACAACAACAGGAGAAAGGTGAAATAATCAGCAGACCAAAAACAAAATTTGATAAATTAAAACCTTTGTATAATGCAGAAAAGAATACTTCTTTACAATTTGATAGTGATATTAATGTGGAACAAAAACAGCCTGTAAATAAAACATCTACAGAAGGTTAGTATTATACTACTTATAATAATAATAGTAGTAATAATAATAATATTTAATTTAAAAGAATTAGTTCCGTTAATGAATTTAGATAAAGCAATAAAAAGGAAGACGTAATTTTTCTGAATCGTGTGCAATGTGTATTTGCGCGCAGAACACATTTCGAACAATCTGATCACAAGTGGACACAATTTTTTCATCCCGTTTCCTATATCTTACTTAAGGAATTTATTACTTCTATGTACTAACAATGTTAGGTTTACATTTGAAGACGATTGTTTCCGCCAAGATGATGGTGTTGCTATGGGCAGTCCGTTAGGGCCCCTTTTAGCAAATATTTATATGTCGTATATTGAGAATTTATCGGGAGATTTAATCGAAAATGTACCACTTTATAGAAGGTATGTAGATGATATCGTAATCGTCAGTGATAAGCCTTGTTCTACCACCTCAATTTTAAATCGAATGAATGAAGTTCACAATAGCATATCACTGACATCCGTAGGAGAGGAAGATAATTGTTTATCTTTCCTAGACATAATACTTAGTCGATGGCTTGATGGGTCAATAGAAAGATCTATTTATAGAAAACCTACCTGGACAGGACAGTATTTTAGTTACCACAGTTTCTGCCCTGTTCGCTACAAAAGAGACTTAGTGAGTGAGGTGCCACTTTAGTAGAATCCAACGAATATGCACTGAAGACACACTTGATGAAGAAGAAAGAAAGTTGAAACAAACTCCGGTTGGTAACAGTTATCCATACAAGTTCATCAGGAGATATAAAGTAGTCAGTGGAACACCAAGACCCACTTTACAACTCGCCCCTAAGAAAGACATGTACACCAAGCTAACCTATATGAGGCATCATAGCAGCTTGATAACTAGACAAAGACTGAACGCTGCCTTGGTTAAAAAGACTTTCTAGACAGCTAATATGATAATAATTGAGAATGTAAAGCCAATATATCTATCTAAGCCCTTCGAACATGCTAAAAATGATGTCACAGCCCACTGTATTTACCAATTTGAATGTACGTGTGGACACACATACATAGGGAGAACTCATCGATCACTGCTAGCAAGTAAGGCCTGGCTTCAGAGCATATTCTTGAATGACTCCAGAAACAAATGGAATCATCAGAACCTATTAACAGTGAGAACAGACGAAGACCTAGCTCCTATACTGAGAAACATATTATAGAGACAAGACATAAAATTGATGTTAACAGATCTTTTGAACTTATCTATCAATAAAACGTGTTTGGGGCGTATCCTAAAGTCTGTGAAAGCCTCCATGGCTAGCAATTAGAAAGTTTAAGGCACCTTTATGCATCCAAACCAACAATTTGTCATCACATTAAACCTTCCATGGTAAATTTTGTTTTGATACTAGCGCCAAGGTAGGTGTATTATTACCCCTGTTATTTGGTTTAGTGGTCTTCATTGTTATTTCGACCTTCAGTATGTCCTCCTTTTAACTTGACCTAAGTAGTCTATTTTCTCACCTTTTAACTCTGCATCAATTTCATATATATTCCTGTGACAAGTCCGTGTGTTGTTCCTTATGTGTTGCGCAAATACACATTGCACACGATTCAGACAAATTACGTCTTCCTTTTTAGTGCTTTATCTAAATAATAATATTAACATCGATATTATTTTCAGCATATTCAAGTATTGGTTTTTGTAAGGATTTTGTTTAATTGATTTGATATGGAATTTCATCATGAGCTGACATCGCTTAGAGAACCATTGGAAAACTAGCCACAGGGAGTGCTGGACAGCCAACTGTTCCTCCCCACCCTAGTTTGGGACTGACTCGTCACCGCTACGCATCCACACCGCGGGGTTCGATCCCACGGCCTTCTGGTTACAAGTCGAGTGAACTTGTAGACCATTCATCAGCCATTGGGACCCTATCCAATAGCCAGTCAGCCCATGAATTCCTACCTCTGCCAATTCCCGACATAGCGCGACCACTTCACAATGTTCTAAGTGGTGTAATGGTCTATGAGCTCGCTATCCTTCTAGCCAGAAAGTTATCGGTTCGAACTTCGCGGTTTCGATGTGTACTGATGAAGAGTTCTAAACCAGGCTGACGAAATAGATGGTTGTTCAGTACTCCCAGGCTGTTTTCTAATGCTTCTCTTTAACTGTGATGTCAGCTCATGGTGAAATCTTCCAACCAGTTTTCAGTATATTTTATTGCATGATATTTTCGCTTCATCTATAATCTTCACAAAAAAAATATCACCTGATGGCAGACCGATGTCAAACACTTCTGCCTGACATAAAGCGGATATCAATAAACGATGATGCCTCTTCTTTGTCTTCTTCGGTAAAAATGCATGTAATTTGAATAAAGCGAGAACAACAGTGGCTTGTGCAGAATGAAAAAATGATATCATCATTGCTTATTTCATTGGCTTCTCATCAGCTCAGTTGCTTACAGCTTACAGCCTAAATAAATCATGAGGTTTACGTACAGAAACGTTTTAACATACTTGCAAATTTTACATGTAATCAGTTGACAGAAAGTTCCACAATTAGTGAACAGTGCTCAGAAAATTGCGCTTATATAGTTTTCGTCAAGTTTACCGAAGCAATTTCTATCAAATGCTTGAAACCAGATTTATGTGTTCAGAAAGAAGCAGTTAGCGTCAGTTTTTTCTTGCCCTGTCTGATAACTGGATGTCTTTATTCTCTCGCTTTCATTTGATTACGTGATCTTTGAATTTAACCTCACCCCCTTTTACATAGTGCAATTTTGCTTGTCTCTTGTTTCTATGGCTTGAGTTGAACTCAGTACATTGTGACCTAATTTATTAGTCACTCGACATCTTGCTCATCGCTTATGTTTACTGCGTAACTCCTTTACCATTGTATTATGCATGCATACATTTATTTCCTTTAAACTTCAACTCTGTGTAAAAATTATATAAGCGTAATTTTCTGAGCACTGTTCACTAATTGTGGAACTTTCTGTCAACTGACTACATGTAGAATTTGCAAGTATGTTAAAACTTTTCTGTACATAAACCTACCTCATAACTTATTTAGGCTGTAAGCGAGCAGCTGAGCTTGATGAGAAGCCAGCGAAATAAACAATGAGATGGTAGCATCTTGTTATTCTGCACAAACCACCACTGTTGTTGTTCTTGCTTTTATCCAAATTCATCAACAGGGAATAAATGCATGAAGGATGTAATTTGGTTGAATGGCACCTATGGCAAATGTGCAGGGAATCCATTGTGAATTTCTCCCGAAAGAAATCCGAAACGATAATCCAAACTTTAGATTTAACCACACGTAGAGTGACGCGTTAAGTCCAAAATACAGGATATTCTGCAATACGGTACTTTATTACATAAAAATAGATATATAATATACAAACCTCAAAATGTGGGGTGTCTGTGGTTAAATGCCGTCAAATGCACAACCACTGTGCAGTCAATAAGTAAAAACAGCAATGCTGTGTCAAGGTCGATCCACGTGTCGGTTCAAACGGCCCGCGAATGCCAAGCAAAGAATAAACAAATATGAACAAACAACTTTCAATAGTAAAACACACACTATAGGGTAAATGCAGCAAATAATGTTTAAGGAGAAGAAAAATAAGAACTATACATTAATAGAATGATAATAGAACAAGTAATTTAACTGCAGTTGTAAGCAAATGTCATTTTTATAAATTAACATATAAAAATCATACTACTTACTAATGGCAAGTAGTATAATGTTGAACAAAGGAAAGATTGAGAATGAACAGGTAGGAAAGGAATTAGCATCCATTCTGTTGTAAATCAAGGACAAATCTCTTGCGCTGCAATCCACTAACTCATATCCACGATTTCTGTTGTTTTTTTTCTCTCTCTGTCACAATATCTAGAAACTTACGAATCAGCAAGTTGTAAGCACAAATTAAATACTCGCCAAAGTATCAAAATGTAATTAAGTGCGTCGGTGGCACAGTGGTTAGGACTCTCGCCGACCATGCATATGGTCCGGGGTTCGAGCCCACGTCGGCGCACACCTGATATCTATGGTCAGCCTGCAAAATTTGGGCTACCGATATCCATGCTGAAAATTCCATAATTGTACCAAAAAATACAGTGTGGAATCAAGCTGTAAATCATGAAAAAAAATTAAAGGTCATATTTTATCAGATTTAAATACAATAATTGAACGAGAGAGGAAATACGTTGATTAGTTTGCAGGAAAGTGTTTAAGAAAAAAAATGCAGTGAAATTCTTCGATTTTTCTTTTCACTGTAATATGATGTAAGAGGAGGGAGTGAAGAAGTTCGAGGTTAAAAACAAAAAGATTTATCGTTAGGATGGATGTGATGTCTGTTTCGTTCACCAACTAAAAAAAACAAATATGTTCGGATTTGCAGAAAATCTATGACCCTGCTTGACTAACGATACGACAAAAAAAAATGCTAATCGAATAAAACAGAGAGGTGGATTTTCAAGCATTTTACTATTTAATATCAGTGATTAAAATATATTGTTTTTGGACTTATTCAGTTTTATGCATCCATCTCGTTGGCCAAGTTGAACTTTAAGCACCACCACTTAAGCTAGATGATGCTACAGCCACTGGACTACACCGACTCCTAGATTAGAAATAGGGAAGTGAAGTGGTTGGTGGAGCGCGTTGACCGTGTCACACTTATTTGGGAAGTATCATCAGCCAACGCCAACGGGTTGATTGATCTCTGACGAAATCTCAGCACAGATACAGAGGGCTAGTTTCGCATACGCCCGCCAGTTTACGCTATCTTTGGTGTAGACGTGATATCCGGCTGGCTATCGACCAAAGGGTGGGTGTACTGCTCATCAGTTCGCTGCGTCCACCTTTATGGCTGTGAGCAAGACCTGGCCATTGAGAGTGGAAGACATGAAAAGATTAGCTGTCTTTGATCATAGGTGTCTGCGCTCTATTTCCAGTGTTAAGTGGTATAACAAACTGAGCAATTTTGAGGTTAGGCATTGATCGAGTTCTAGGTAAAGAGGGGAAATCAATCAACGAGGCTGTGAAATTACATCGATTGAGATCATTAGGACATGTGTTACGCATCGCTAGCCTAGTCATTGCCTCCCTCGACCGACAGGGAATGTTAGCTGACATAGGGTCAGGCTGGAAAAGAGTTAGCTAGCGGCGGTCAAACCAAAACATGGCACCAGTCAATGAAATCTACAACAGTTAGTCTAAACCACGTAGGAAGGTGTAGACTTCCTGACTGGTTTGGGTCCTCGGGACGGTAAAAACCAATGGTTGGAAACAATTGGTGATATGGGTCAAACTCATCGTTCTCAATGGCTAGTGCAGATGCATCCACTCCCTATGACTTATGATTTCCAATGAAACTGTTTTCTTCTTCGTTATTACTATTCGTTTGTCTCACACGTCTGTTTACTGTCTCTATTATGCATTTCTTCTACTTTCTTCTCTTGCTTTGTGTGCTACAAGGAGGGAGAGTGGCGACTTGAACTGGTGCACATCGGTGCAGAGTCCTATGTCGAAAATAGACAGACAGAATTCCCTACGAGTATATTAGTGATCTCTTCTCACGGTTGACCTTGAACCTGATTAGTTGTATTCGTGTGTTTTCACAACTTTTAGGCTACTTGTATTGGAACTGATTGTTTCCTGGACATGAAATTTGACCCTGTGTGTGTGAGATTTCCTTCTTATCGGTTGGTAAATTCTGTTTATCTCGATATGTCTATTGATTGACGATTCACTGGAATACCAGGTTTCTAAACATTCTCTAGCATTCTTGGTGTTTCCTCTGTCTATTATTTCACCGTTGTCCCAGTTGAATTGATGTTCGCGGTTGTCTATATGCAGTGAGGCCTTATGAGGGAGTGGATGTCATGTCTTTTGACGGCTAGCTTATGATCTTGGATACGAAGACGAAGGGGACGTCCACTTTGGCCAATGTAGTGTTTTCACAGTTGTTACAATTTATTTTGTACATGATGTTGGCTCTATCTTTTTTCGTTGTTGAGTCTTTTGGTTGACACAGGACTGGCCGGCTAGCTGGCTGAGTGAAGTGATTTTGTTGGTTTGTGTGCGACATCAATTCCTCAAGGTTTGAAGAGTCTTTCGGTGATTTCTGAGATGTCCTTTATATACGGTAGGGCTATTTTCTTTATGCTTTCCTTGGGGTCCTTTGAATTGATAGGTTGGCGGCTTGGGGGTATATGTCTTTTGATGAAATCCCGTGGATATCCATTCTTTTGGAAAGACGTCCATGAAATATGTTTCTTTAATTTTGCTTGAGGTAGGTGGGGGTGCTGCAATGAGTCCTGGCTGGCCCTCCTGAATAGTGTTTGGATTGTTTCTGTTGTAATTGAATATTTTCTACAAACTTGAGTTTCTTATTCCCCTGTGGTTGTTCATCTGACTAAGACGTCCAAAAATGGAATTTTGTCCGGACTGATTCTTCTTCCGTTGTGAATTTGATGTCGTCGAAGACGTTGTTTATTATGTTAATAATAAAATACATAAAAACAACCAATCACGAGGTTCAAGGTGGTCATCAGGAGAGATGACTAATAAACGCGTGGAGAATTCTAAAAGCTCACTTCAAAGAATTGAAGTATGCGCTGAAGTGAGGATGTGTTGCCTAGTAAGTAGAGCAATGAAAGCTTCGTAAATTAACTAACCAGCTCTCTCAGATAACATAACCACATCAAAATAAATGGAGTATTTAGATTTTATCTATTCTGTTTTGTTCCCTTCCCCCCCCACCCCTCATTTCTTTTTCTAAATTTATTTCAGGTCCCCATCCTATAGAAGATGAAACATCCTTATCGAAATCGTCATCTTCATCACCGTTTTATCGATTAATAAAAAATATCTGTTTATGGTTCTGCGGTTGTGCTGATCATCCATGCTCTGATCCTGAAGTTAGAGATCGATATGGTTGTAAATGTTGTCCAGTGAGTACACATGATAATGAGGCTGGTAATTCCCGAAGACATCCCATATCTGGTGATATTATTCAAATCAGTAGTAGTGACACCGACGCCGACACCGATGATGATGACCTTAAAGCTGAGATGCGTCGTTTAGATCAAGAGAAACATTTAGCTAAAATTACAAGTTTAAAACAAGATCCACAAGTGAAATTTGGCTTATACATTGGCCTAGTCATAATTATGATCTTGTCTGTATTCGGTTTCATCTTTTTCTCTGTATATTTTGGACCAATTGAAATCGGCCCAATCCCTGTGATGAATGTGGATGACCAATCAAGTTTAAGTAGTGGACCATTGAATGATGCCATTGAATTGTTAAAGAAAAATGGTTTAATTAAAACACAATGAAAACAGCAAAACAAAAGAAAAGCGTCGACAGACAGAGAATAGACAATCAGAGATAAAGTTTCATTCTAATTCAAATTGTTATACATACGTCTATTAATATATAAACATATAAATATGCACATATACAACACACTCATATAAATATACATATGATTCATTCATTAGAGGAAACGTTTGTTTTTTTTATTTATTTTAATTTGAAGTTCTATTTTAATGTTCCTGTTTACATTCTTTTGTTTTTTTGTCTATTTCCGAGTGTTACTATTTCTTATATGACACTTTCATTGGGTACTTATGTAATGTGTAGATAACTATGCATATATATATATATATATATATATATATATATATATATATATACCAAATTACAATTAAATTTAATTATACAAGACTACTCTTCTTCTCGTCTTCATCGAAGGTGTATTATTCTGTTAGATAATTTCGTTGTTTACCAGCCAATAGCTGTTCAGTCTGCTCTGATTAAGGCACGCTAGTAACAAGTTGAGAGACGAAAATAAAATATATAAAACAATTACTCCCTTTTATAAATTTTGATATCGTTATTAGAAGACGGAGATTATCTGAAAACGGATGTGATGATGATGTATTGGCGCGCCTATACATTCCGAACAATCTGATCCCTCACATATTTACTTGTCAAGTCGAATTATTTATATTTTTACGAGTTGATCACGGATTGATATCAGTTAGAGAATCATTGAAAACCAGCACTGGAGTACTGGACAGCTGCTGTTTCATCCTAGTTTGGGAATTATCGGCAGTACGCACCCCTCCACTTGAGGTTCGGACCCAGGACCTTCAGGTTACAAGGCAAGCAAGTTCGTATACCATTCAGCCACTGGGACCCGATTCAGTGGCTAATGAATTCTAACTTCTATCAATTCGTGATTTAGCGCGACCCCAACCACTGTCGTTGGTGGGACATCCATCCACACACGTGACATCTAATTGGACCTCACTGGTCACGACTTCTCACTAGAACTTAGGAAACTCCAACCGATATATATATATATATATAAAGTTAAATTAAAGAAAGTGACGAAAAAAGATTTAAGAATGATTAACATAACGTTTGGTAATCTAATCAAATAAGGATTACCAAGTTAGGTAGGTTAAGAGTAATAACAAACTGTTTTTGAATACACAGGGGGGGGGCTTAAGTCCATCAATATAGTTATAGCCTCAGCGTATTTCAGTAAATGCCCCTGACCGTTTTCATAGATGACCTTAAAAGCTGAGTTAACATCAATCTTATGGTTCATCTCGATTAGATGCTTAGCTATAGACGAAGTTGGTAGTCTGACATCTGCGTCTATTGGTTTTCACAATTCATTTGTTTTTTGGACAGGGCAATACCTTAATTTTCACAGTGTGTCTGTCCATTACAGTGAAATGTCTATTTAAGAGGATTCAACGTATTTGAACGGCTGATGTTTTGGACAAAGAAAACCAAATATTGATGGATACTCTTGTTGAAAAAGGATATCCTTTAAAATTTTTAAACAGGTGTGGAAGGCAATTAGTCTCTAAACTTACAATCCATACCGCCCCTTAGAAGTGTTTTCGTTAAATTAGCATATAACGGGAAATAAACAGTAGGAATTTGAGACAAAGGTTGAACCCGATCATCCGTAGAACCTATTATGCAGCCGAACTTGTAATTGCCGAAAAAAATAAGCTAAAAATATGCTCCACTGCAAACCTCAAAAGTGCACAAGTGATTGTGTCACATCCCACACTATTTACCAATTTTCGTGTGTGTGTGTGTGTGTGTGTGTGTGTGTATGTGGTCACACATACATAGGAAGGAGTAATCCCGCTTTGCATGTGAGAGTGGTTAGAAAAACAAATGAATTGTGGTAATTTAAAACAATTAGTTCCCTTTATGAATTTAGATAAAGCACTAAGAAGGAAGACGTAATTTGTCTGAGTCGTGTGCAATGTGTATTTGCGCAACACATTTCGAACAATCGATCACAATCCATGGACTTGTCATAGGAATATATATGAAATTAATAAAGAGGTAAGAGGTGAGAAAATAGACTACTTAGGTCAAGTTAAAAGGAGGACATACTGAAGGTCGAAATAACAATGAAGACCACTAAACCAAATAGCAGAGGTAATAGTACATCTACCCTGGCGCGAGTATCAAAACAAAATTTACCATGGAAGGTTTAATGTGATGGCAAATTGTTGGTTTGGATGCACAAAGGTGCCTTAAACTTTCTAATTGCTAGCTAGGGCTTCCACAGACTTTAGGATACGCCCCAAACACGTTTTATTGATAGATAGGTTCAAAAGATCTGTTAACATCAATTTTATGTCTTGTCTCTATTATATGTTTCTCAGTATAGGAGCTAGGTCTTCGTCTGTTCTCACTGTTAATAGGTTCTGAAGATTCCATTTGTTTCTGGAGCCATTTAGGAATATGCTCTGAAACCAGCCCTTACTTGCTGGCAGAGATCGATGAGTCCTCCCTATGTATGTGTGTCCACACGTACATTCAAATTGGTAAATACAGTGGGCTGTGACATCATTTTTCACATGTTCGAAGGGCTTAGATAGATATATTGGCTTTACACTCTCAATTATTATCATATTAGCTGTCTAGAAAGTCTTTTAAACCAAGGCAGCGTTCAGTCTTTGTCTAGTTATCAAGCTGCTATGATGCCCCATATAGGGTAGCTTGATGTCCACATCCTTATTAAGGGCGAGTTGTAGAGTGGGTCTTGGTGTTCCACTGACTACTTTATATCTCCTGATGAACTTGTATGGATAACTGTTACCAACCGGAGTTTGTTTCAACTTTCTTTCTTCTTCATCAAGTGTGTCTTCAGTGCCTATTAACGGTGAGAACAGGAGACCTAGCTCTTCCTATTGCGAAACATATTTTTGAGACAGGTCATAAAATTGATGTTAACAGATCTTTTGAACCTATCTATCAATAAAACGTGTTTGGGGCGTATCCTAAGGTTTGTAGAAGCCCTAGCAATTAGAAAGTTCAAGCCACCTTTATGCGTCCAAAAACAATTTGTCATCACATTAAACCTTCCATGGTAAATTTTGTTATGATACCAGCTAGGGTAGATGTACTATTACCTCTGCTATTTGGTTTAGTGGTCTTCATTGTTATTTCGACCTTCAGTATGTCCTCCTTTTAACTTGACCTAAGTAGTCTATTTTCTCACCTCACCTCTTTATTAATTTCATATATATTCCTATGACAAGTCCATGGATTGTGATCAGATTGTTCGAAATGTGTTGCGCAAATACACATTGCACACGACTCAGACAAATTACGTCTTCCTTCTTAGTGCTTTATCTGAATTGTGATAAGTCAATAGATGCAGGTGTCAGTCAGACTACCAACTTCGTCTATGGCTAAACACCTAATCCAGATGAACCATAAGATTGATGTTAACTCAGCTTTTAAGGTCATCTATAAAAACGGTCAATAAGCGCCTTGTTAAAATACGCTGAGGCTATTGCTATTCATAAATTTAAGCCTTATTTAATCCTTATTTGATTGGGTTACCAAATGTTGTGTTATTAATTCATAAATCCTTTTTTTATCACTTTATTTAACTTTTTCAAATATGTCAACTTGGCAAGTAAATGTGTGAGGGATCAGATTGTTCGAAATGTATAGCACCAATACATCCTCACATCCCTTTTCAGATAGATAATCTCCGTCTTCTAATAACACTATCGAAAACAAAATAAACAAAATAACTATTTACAAGAATTGAGATTTTAAGGGTTACATTTGTTCTTTGTTTTTCTTCAAAGTTTGACCATGGATTGATATCAGTTAGAGAAGCATTGAAAATTAGCCGCAGGGAGTTACTGCTGGACAGCGAGTTGTTTCGTCAACTTAGTTTAGGAATCATTGGCAGTACGAACCCACTGCCAGAGCTCGAACCTAAGACACTTTCCGGTTACAAGCAAGGCAAGCAAGCAATCTCGTATATCATTTAGCCAGTGGAACTCGATTTTTCTAAATTGATGACCAGACCATGAATTCTAACTTCTATCAATTCATGATTTTTGATGTGACTGACACCAAATAATGATATCGGCGGAGACTGCATCCTCACTGCCGATTGGTGGATGGACCCCTCTGGTCACAACTTCTTACTCCAGAACTCCAGGCAAATTCGTTCTGTAGCCAGTCACTATGACAGGGCACTAGATTACTTTCCAAGAATTGATTTGTAAGGATTAGATTGTTATCAGTGTACACGATTTTGTCTTGTAACCGGAAGGTCCTAGATTCAAAACTTAGTGGGTGTGTGTGTACTGACAATGAGTCTCAAAGTAAGCTATCCAGTACCCCGTGTGACTGGTTTTCAATGCTTCTCTAACTGATATAAATCCGTGGTCAAACCCGAGAAAAAAATAATTGTTTCCTTTATTTTTTTAAATTTAATTTTTACTGTCGCTTTTCATTGATTGGACCGAAATGTTAAACTTCCCAGAACAAACTCTTCGATGGTGATGATGATGATGCTCGTGGATTAACATGAATTGATTTGATGTGATTCAGCCTTATGGTGCTTGCCAACCATGCCCTGTGTGTGGTCTTGGGTTCAACTCCCAGCTGGTGTACACCTTTACCTCGTTTAGCTAATTATATTTCCCGAGGAAAAGATAAGGTTGGGCGTGAGGCCAGCAACCGCAATCCATAAAAAAAAACACTACTGCGACTGAAACTTGGAAGTTGAAGCTTGAGGCCTTATGTTCCACTTGTGGAGGTCAAAGGAATAAAATATAAAAAATATATAGAGATATTTTGGTGATTGGTGAGTGTGGAATGCAGGTACATCCAGATGATGACTGATAAATAGAACGAAATACGCCTTCTAGATTCCACTGCTAGTCACCATCCGCCAAATTAACTACTTTTGATTGGTCATACGTCGAATCTTTTTATTTTTGCAGGCTAAATTCTAATACAGGATTTCGTCATGAGCTGACATTAGTTAGAGGACCATTAGAAAACCACCAGGGAGTGCTGGACAGCTGTACTGCCCCCCCCCTAATTTGGGACTTTTCAGCAGTACGCATCCACACCGTGATGTTCGAACCCAATACCTTCTGGTTACAAGATGAGCTCGTAAAGACCATTAAGCCACTGAGACTCGATCCAATGGTCAGCCTATGATTTCTAACTTCTGCCAATTCGCGACATAGCGTGACCACTAGCCAACATCTTCAGCGAGTATTTTTCCTCACAACCAACCTGCTACACCCTACTGGTCACGACTTCTCACTAGAACCCCAGGTGACTGCCTATCTACCTGGATGAGGCAAGTCGCT